TTAGGGAGCTCCAGGCCGTCCTCTCCCCGGCCTTGTCCACCAGCTCCTCCGGCAGGACCCCAAGGCGTTCCCGGACCAGATTGGAGATGTAACCTCTCCAACGTGTCCTGGGTCGACCCGGGGGCCTTCTGCCGGCAGGACATGCCCGAAAAACCTCCCCGGGGAGGCGTCCAGGAGGCATCCTGACCAGATGCCCAAACCACCTCAACTGGCTCCTTTCGATCCGGAGGAGCAGCGGTTCTACTCCGAGTCCCTCCCGAATGTCCGAGCTCCTCACCCTATCTCTAAGGCTGAGCCCGGCCACCCTACGGAGGAAACTCATTTCGGCCGCTTGTATCCGCGATCTCGTTCTTTCGGTCATTACCCAAAGCTCATGACCATAGGTGAGGATTGGGACGTAGATCGACCGGTAAATCGAGAGCCTGGCTTTCTGGCTCAGCTCCCTCTTCCCCACGACAGATCGGCTCAGCGTCCGCATCACTGCAGACGCCGAACCAATCCGCCTGTCGATCTCCCGATCCCTCCTACCCTCACTCGTGAACAAGACCCCGAGATACTTAAACTCCTCCACTTGAGGTAGGACCTCTCCCCCGACCCAGAGGTGGCAAGCCACCCTTTTCCAGTCGAGAACCATGGTCTCAGATTTGGAGGTGCTGATCCTCATCCCAGCCGCTTCACATTCGGCCGCGAACCTACCCAGCAAGAGCTGAAGGTCAGAGCTGGATGAAGCTAGGAGGACCACATCATCCGCAAAAAGCAGAGACGAGATTCTCCTGCCACCAAACTCGACACACTCCACACCACGGCTGCGTCTAGAAATTCTGTCCATAAAAGTGATGAACAGAACCGGTGACAAAGGGCAGCCCTGGCGGAGTCCAACCCTCACTGGGAACAGGTCCGACTTACTACCGGCTATGTGGACCAAACTCACGCTCCTCTGGTAAAGGGACTGAATGGCCCTTAACAGAAAGCCACCCACCCCATACTCCTGGAGCGTCCCCCACAGGGTGCCCCTGGGGACACGGTCATAAGCCTTCTCCAAATCCACAAAGCACATGTGGATTGGTTGGGCAAACTCCCATGCCCCCTCCATCACCCTTGCAAGGGTATAGAGCTGGTCCACAGTTCCACGGCCAGGACGAAAACCACATTGCTCCTCCTCTATCTGAGATTCAACTATCGATCGGACCCTCCTCTCCAGTACCTTGGCGTAGACCTTTCCAGGGAGGCTGAGGAGTGTGATCCCCCTCTAGTTGGAACACACCCTCAGGTCACCCTTCTTAAAGATGGGGACCACCACCCCGGTCTGCCACTCCCTAGGAACTGCCCCCGATGACCACGCAATGTTGTAGAGACGTGTCAACCATGACAGCCCTACAACATCCATAGCCTTGAGATACCCAGGACGAACCTCATCCGCCCCCGGGGCTCCGCCGCTGTGTAGTTGTTTGACTACCTCAGCAACTTCTGCCCCCGAGATCGGACAGTCCATCCCCAGGCCTCCCAGCTCTGGTTCCTCCTCGGAATGCGCATTGGTGGGATTGAGGAGCTCCTCAAAGTATTCCTTCCACCGTCCGACTATAGCCCCAGTTGACGTCAGCAGCTCCCCATCCCCACTGTAAACAGTGTGAGCGAGTTGCTGCCTTCCTCTCCTGAGGCGCCGGACAGTTTGCCAGAACCTCTTTGGAGCCGATCGATAGTCTTTCTCCATGGCCTCACCAAACTCCTCCCACGCCCGAGATTTTACCTCGGCAACTGCCACTGCTGCACCCCGCTTGGCTATCCGGTACCTGTCTGCTGCCTCCGGAGACCCACAGACCAGCCACGCCCTGTAGGCCTCCTTCTTCAGCCTGACGGCTCCCCGAACCTCTGGTGTCCACCAGCGGGTACGGGGGTTGCCACCACGACTGGCACCGGCCACCTTACGACCACAGCTAGCAACAGCCGCCTCGACAATCGCAGAGTGGAACAAGGCCCACTCGGACTCAATGTCCCCTATTGCTCTCGGGACGTGGTCAAAGCTCTGCCGGAGGTGGGAGTTGAAGACCGTCTTGACAGGTTCTTCTGCCAGGCGTTCCCAGCAGACCCTCACTATGCGTATGGGTCTGCCAGGTCTACGCGGCTTGTTCCCTTGCCATCTGATCCAACTCACCACCAGGTGGTGATCAGTTGACAGCTCCGCCCCTCTCTTCACTCGGGTGTCCAAAACATACGGCCGCAGGTCAGATGATATGACTACAAAATCTATCATCGACCTGTGACCTAATCCACGTGTGTCTGACTATTGGCATGCTGCCTTGCGGACCAAGGTTGAAAAATACTGCATTAAATTGCATATAAAATAACATGACCATAAATGGTCCACATCCACATTACTGTTTGTGAAACTAACATACTGGCGAATTTCATCACAATAATATTAAATAAACAAGTATGTAGCTGATCTTTTACATGCTGTTGGTGAAGCTCTGGATGACCCCTGTCAGATGTAGACAGAGTCAATGTTCCTCTTCTGCAGCTGGTTGAACAGCATGTCCACATGTGGCTTGATCTTGTGACACAATGCCAGCAGAAAGCCGAAATCTTCTTCCTCCAGCATTCTCACAAAGCCTCCTGCCTCTCTCTCAGTGATTGGATCAAAGTCATCCGAGTCTCTGATCATCTGGAAAAATCTGAGGAGGTCATCCTTGTGCTCATACACTGTGTTGACATCTCTCTCTTGGACAAAATGTGCCGGTTCTGATCCACTTCTTCCTTGTGTTTCTTCACTGCAAGCCTGTGCCCCTCATCTCTAGCTGCATGGCAATGTTAGCTCTGCCTAGCATAGCTAGCTTCACCGTGTTGTTGTCCATGTGCGCCCGGGATAACTCATGTTTCTTCACCTTCTCAGAAAAATGTTTCTTGTCTGTAACTCCTGACTCAATCCATGCCTTATCTGTCCCAGCCGTTTTGAATAACAAACACGGAAAGCAAAATAACGCATGAGCGTGATTGCATCCAGCTAGCCAAGCCTTCCTGGTGTACCAGTTTCGGGAGAAGCCTGTGTGTACAGTTTACCTCTCTCCTTGTCCTGCTGCCTTATCTTTACGTCGGGCTGATCTGGTCCAAGCTCTTTGACATTAAGTTTTTCCACCATAGTTCTCCTCTCGAACGGACACTGGAGAAGAGACCGAACTAAATTCAGTGGCTGCTGAGATCCGGTATCCATGCTGGTTGTAGGCTCACTGGCAGCGTCCATGTTACATCTGCGTCACGACCAAAAACGTGCTGGAGTAGTCGAGACTCTGCCGAGTTCTACCGAACACCAACGAAAGCCTTAGGCGGTACCTCTATCGCCCATCATGCTTCTGAAACAACGTCGACGCTGATTGGATACATTCCCATTCCTACCATTTGATTTTCTTGCCAGCAATTGGCTGGCTGCTTCCGCGCTGTTTGGGCGATTGAAACACAGCCTACAGCCTTTCTGTCGCCTCCACCGCTCGGCAGAGAGCTTCTCACCAATATAGATATTTATATATATGATTTGTTTTTGTTACAAATCACACAATTAACTTAGAATATGTGATTATTGTTAATTTTATTTTATTTTTTTTAAATAAAAATTAAAAACACTGGGGAAAACTGGGAGGGTGGCACCCTATCGCCCTCTACTGGCCAGCCGCCACTGATTGATTGACTGGAATTAGAATAATAGCATTTGGAAACTTTTATTTAATTCTTAAAAATAAGAACAGAGTGGAGCAGGGGACACACACACACACACACACACACACACACACACACACACACACACTCACACACACACACACACACACACACACACATGCACAAGCAAACTCTAAACTTTTCTTTAGAAGAGTAATTTTACCAAGAGAAAGGGATCATTTTCAGGACAATGCAAAATAAAAGAAATTTTCAAAAAAGTTATTTTGTTTCATTTTGTTGACGAAATGTCAGTTTGCTCCAAAAGAACAAATTTGTAAATGCAAAAATTACCATGAAACTCCTAAAGTTCCCACATTACCCTTGCCCACAGTTCTGAGTACAGAAGATGTCTCTAGGAATGCAATTTCTGATGATAGCTGACACACACACACACACACACACACACACACACACACACACACACACACACACACGCGCGCGCGCGCGCGCACACTTGCAATTAAAAACTCCGCTGGCATGACAGAAAAAGCTAAATATGTTTTCCCTAAGCAACGGCTTAATTGGATCCTTTCATTCTACGTCTGGTGTTCTGTTAGCTTTTAGTCCACTGATGTATAAGAGACAATAATGTCACAGCCATACAGGAAGAGTTATGAAACAATTAAATAAAAGAATAAATGTGTTCAATGTTGTGGAGAAAGTGCACCCACTACTTCTGTCCAAGTGGTTTAACCCAACGAGGAATCTTTATCTGATAAGTGAATTATTTTCTGTCATGGGTGAGGTCTGAAACTTTGGGATCCTATTTCTGGGATGATCTACTTTTCACCACTTCAACAGTCAACTTGATTCCAGTTTTATCTAAAGATTTTTTTATATCACACAATCTAAAGTCAAATAAATGCATTGGAGCTCAATTAGTTTATATTTCAACATATTTCACTTTAGTGCAGTTTTCCTGAAAGTGTCAGTTGTATTTAAAACACCTTTGACATTTTACACCTTTTCTTTTCACAATGGTAAAACTTGCAGAAGCCACTGTTTTGTAACCCCCACCCATTTCTGAATCCTCATGCAACATGGTTGTGTAAACCTCTGTGCGCATGTGCCACACCGTGTTAATGTAAGTCAGACATCCTACATTATTCATGCAAAACGTAACATTAGGAACCAAATTAAAACTTATCTGTGCACGAAAAACAAAACATGTGCATCCATAACAGAAAACTATTTATGCAACTAATGCAACAGTTCAGGAACCTACATATTTTATTGTGTAATTTCAATTTTTTCATTACTGATTAAGAAACACAAAAATATATTATACTTACATTTTTGCAGCAGAGACACACTCAACTGTGTCATTATTGATCTTTTCCTCCGGTTTGCTCTTCCATGTACCTTTGACCTTTACTAGACTGAACTCAGTTTTCTTTTCTTTGGGATCGCTGTGATGAACTTTTCCCATTTTTTTTTCACTGAGCTGTAAGCTGCTGTTATTGGAGAAGTGACTGACAGTCCAGGAGAAGTCTGTCTGCAGAGGCTTTTATACAGATCAGGTTTTAGAGGATGCCACAAAGACAAGGGAGGAGCATTTCCTTTCGTTTCCCGTCACGTGTCTTTGCATGTCTTTTGTGTAATTGTAACATAACACCTTTTTCATAACTTGTTACATATATCTTAATCATTAAAGGAGATTTATTAGTAATTGAGATAAGACTGTTGAAAAGGCGTAATTACTAAAAGTGTTGGTTTCGTAAAAACACATCATTTAAATTATACAACCAAAATAATGAAAGGAGGATTCAAAGATGTATTTAAACCAACGTTGGAGCTGATGGGTTCAAACGTTGAAATGTCATGCTTTTTTTTAAGCTGCTGTCATGTAACCACTTAACTGAGCCACCTTCCAGAACTGGATTGACAAGGTTCAGAGGTCAGAGTGCTCTCATAACGTGAAACTTAAAGCAAGAGACACGAAACTGCACCAGTGGTGTTGTGTGCATGTGGGGTTATTAGATAAAAACAGAGTTAACAAAAAGCATCAAACAATCTCTCTATCAGTTATCTGAGTGATTATTTTCTAACTTCATTTAGACTAAAATTATTTGGCTGCTGTTAAAGTAGGTGGATGTTTATGTTTATGTATTTAGCAGACGCTTTTGTCCAAAGCGACTTACGAGTGATAAAGTGGATGACACTTAGGATTCCAGAGTACGGTGATCATTATTTCCTAAAGGAAAAACACTAAATGTTCCAGCAATTTAGATTTTCTTCAGCAATTTTACAAAACTCCTGCAAAACATGAACAACTTCAGGGCAAATTTCAGTTGTCAGCGCCTCCAATTGGAAATGATTTATTACTGACGTTTGCTTAACCACTTGTTACGCACCAACACACTTTTACTTAAACTGGATTTTATCTAAACCAGATTAAACTGTTAAAATCAGATTTTAATGCTGTCAGGATGTCAGAATAACTATACACAATCCTGGTTATGGAAGCCAAACTCATTTTGCTGTTTGACTTGTTCAGGACTGTTAAGTTTTTAAATAAAAACCAATTACAACAGGAGGAGAATTGTAGAGGTGTAAAATATGCAGAATAAAAACTTTTCATTAATAAGGAAACGAAAAACACATTTACATGTAAAACAGGTGGTTTCACGGTCTTTGTTTTGGTTGCTTGAGTCAGGAATTATTGCGTGTTTTCACACGTAGAGCGGAACAACAATTTCAGAGTAATTATGGGATTTTGTCTTTCTCTGTGACTCTGATGAATACTCCAAAACAGGGCTGTGTTGGGACCTTTGAAGGGTCTGCTGCAAAAGTTTTAAAATAAAATGTCATTTCTTTTTAACACAAACATTTGACAAAAAAGACGACTCTGAATAAATAAAAATAAATTAAAGAGCCCAGCTAATTAAATGAGACCAAAAAGTCATAGAAATTAGTTGACAGATAACTTGTAGAGCTGGATTTCACAACTCGATGAAGTAATCAGCTTCTGAATTTGCTTTTGTAAATGAAAAACATATTAAAGGACAAATGATGAATTCATTTGCAAAAACCAAATTAATCTATTTTAATACATTTCCCCAAAATGCATCTTTATTATTTTTTTCATGTTATGTACTTCAAAAGACAATTTTGATCAAAAATGTTTTATTTTATCAATTTTTGCTAATTAAATCATTAAAGAGCAAGTCAAGAATATTTAAATTTTAAATAAGATGCACCAAAGTGCAAAATTATTGACTACACGTGTCTGTAGCACAATTAGACACTAATTTATAGAGTTTATTAGCAAAAAAAAGGTGCTTTGGGGGTGACTTGCTCTTTAACACCCCCCGAGACCAAGTCTCACAGGACCCCACCTGTGCACCTTTTCCAACAGCACTTTTCAGCATGACTATAAAGGGGTTTGATTCGGTTGGACAAGATTTTCCACTAACAGCTCTTGTGTGGAATACAGATTGGAGTAAGGACAACAGTGTTCTGTGAAACATTGTTAAAAAAAACTTAGCAATAACTGAAACCTGTGTTCTTTTTATATAATTCTAAAGTATTTCACACAATTTCTGTACTTTTGTAGCAGTGATACATTTTATCGTATTAGATAGACCTATTAAGGGCAACGGTAGCAGAGCAGTAAAGTGCCTCATAACAAGTGTGTCACAGTCAGCACTTGAACCAACTTGTCTGCTAGTGGTGGTCAGAGGTGGCCCCTGTGTCTACAAAGTAGCTCATCACCAGCATCGTGTGAATGTGTGTGCATGGGAAAATTACTGGTTGTGTTGTAAAGCACCTTGGGGAGTTGTAGAAATCTAGAAGACGTTACATCCAATGTTGGTCATTTACATAAAACGGAAATAAATGGTTTTGTAGGGGTCTACACCAGCAAGTCTGGGGCAACAAGCTGTAGGCTTTATTACATTGACATGGGATTTTTAAATGTTTTCATAACTACAAAAGCTAATATCACCAGGTTTTCAATCAAATCTGACACAGAAGGGATTTGATATTACATCTAACAACCAGACGGGCAGCATGACTTATTAAAAACTATATTTTTAAAACATTTTTAGTAGAACTGTAACACCGTTTAGCTTACTGATGACAAATCACTCTGGTAATTATTGGAACTTGAGATAAAAACTTGTCTTCATAATAAACTTATTTAAAATTGAAACAAAAAATAGAGATTGCAAGATCGGGATGGGTGAATAGGATGCGTGGTGTAGCTCGGTTTGGTGTTTTTGATTTTACCTAAACCCTACCTAATACCCTACATGGGTCTCCATGCCCTGGGGGGCATTTTGGGTACAGAGGTGCCTATTGGGGCCAGTGAGGGAGCTGGCTCCCTGGAGGGCTTAGGCCAGCCAGCCATTCCACCCCATCTCCATACATTTTTCTCCTCCTGCTCCTTCACATCATCACACAATCATGTACGTAGGACTTTGGGGGTGGACAAGTCAGGGGGTGCGGGTATGGATCCCATTTCGGCATTCCTGTGGCAGCCTGGCCCCAATTTTATTTGCACATTAAACACCTCCACCAATGACATTCCACACAAACACACACTTAGGGCCCCAGCATTTGGCAAGGGGATCTTTCAGCCTCATCGCGAGAGCCGGTGCCCACTTCCAATTTTTAACTGCATTTAGACACAGAGGGCTGGGGGGGGGGGGGGGGTGGGGGGGTGGGTGGGGGGGGGGGGGGGGGGTGGTTGCATCGGCTGACGTAGGCCAGACGATGCCCGCACTGCCCGGTCACCACAACCATGGAATACACCTCATCAACATGCACTAACGCTGTATTGGAGCAGGCGGAGGGAACACTAGGGGTCTTAGCACACCTCTGTTGTCGCTTGGCTTCCCGGGGATGCAGGCTAGGAGGAGGAGCTGGCCGTCATGTTGGGGGTCTGGGGTGGTGGGATGCTTTGCTCAGCATTGGGTGGGGGTGTCTGCTCATCATCACCCCAGCAGAAAGGGGCAAACTCTGGGAACCGGTGATGGTTGTACCCCTTGTGCAGCAGTACCAGGACCAGAGTGAATAGGGTGTGTATGGAGAGCGTGAGTGGGTGTCTAGCATTCTTTTTTGTACATTAGGTGCGGTGATGGAGAATTTTAATTTTATTAAAGGTGAGTTATGGGCACTGAAAATCCAACTGCAGAACACTTCCATGGAGAGCAGGTCAGGATAAGTGTAACAGAGGTGAAGGGCGATTTGTCCACTTGGTTTGACGAGGTTGTCTCCCTGTGGAATATGATGAAGGATATTTCAGAGCAGCAGGATAAATGTGAGGAACTTGAAGGTTGGTCAAGAAGATTCAACGTTTAGATTCTTGGAGATCCAGAGAGCCCGGGATCTAGTTGTACCACTAGAGTTGCTAAAATGTTAAAAGAAGTGTTGCAAGAGAAAAAAAACAAAAGATTGACCAATCCCATTAAGCTACCCAGCAGCAAGACAAAGGTTCTGACACGTGCACGTTCCCGAGGACAGCTTCGCTACAACGGGACATCGGTTGCAATCTTCCCACAATACGCAGCAAAAGTGGACCAAGCCACAGCTGCATTTACAAATATAAGGAGGCTTCTTTGAGGTCCACAGGATGTGCATTATAAGCTGGTCTTCCTGGTAAGGCTTCATGTCACCTAAGGAGACGGATAAAGTACTCATTGACCTGTAGGCAGCCATGGCTTATGTGAAGAGCAAAATCATCATTCGATTGGACAACTCAATACTTTTGAGCTGATTCTGCCCTGGAGCAAGAGATATACAGGTCAAGTTGTTTCAAGACACATTGTCCAACAGAACTTTGGTCATGGTTTTGTTTGACGAGTCTGTGGGTTTGATTTCGTAGTTTTTTTTCTCTTTCCTGAGATGAACGTGAGATCAACTGTGAAATAGTAAAGCTTTTGCTGTATGCTTCTTCATGCTGAATTCAAATAAAATATATACAAGAAATACATGATGATCATAAGAATAATATTTTTATGTATATGTAACTGAAATGTTAGGGCCAAAAGGCAGAATGTACGTTGTGTTTGTTCTTTTCTCATTACATTTCTCATCACGGTGTCCCACATTGAGGAGTCTCTGTCCCACATTTGGCAAGTTGGGATCTGGTCAGCCTATTCTAAACGTAAGTTTAAACTCTTTTTAAACTTGTTCTTTTTCAGGCTTCTCACGTTTACGCCTTTGGGGGATAAAGTCTTTTAACTGACTGCCTCAAGCATAAGAATGTAGCATGCATCTGTCAAACTGAAGACTACTGTAATAGAACAAAATGTGAACTCAAACACCTTTGAGGAAAATAAAAAACACAAATAAAGGCTAAGTCACAGACAACCCTTCACGAACAGAATGTACAACCTATCATTTATCTGGTGTCAAAGTTACACTAAGTCATTAGTAGGAAGGTTACATCTATGCTTATGGTATAACATGTCCTAGTTTTGTAACGTTTCTCTCACCTGTGAAAGTTTGAATGTAATATTAACTTTAATACAAATGAACAGATTTGGTTTGACTGTAACTGAGAGCAGAGGATTTTACATCACATGCTAGATTTGACTGAGGCAACAGAACAGCGTCTCTGAACCACAACATGTTGAACTTTGAAGCAGATGGACTCCAGCAGCAGAGGACCACAACGCATGACACTCCAGTCAGTTACGAACTGGAAAGTATCTGTCACCTTCTAACCATCAGAGTATTCATTCTTACCATAGAAAGGTTAGGAAGGTTACCAACACCTTTAACCTATGGCTGTGTCTATATTGCTGCATCCTTCCAAGGCTGCATTTCAAGGCCAATTACATCCGAGCAAAGCAACAAGGCTGTACAAATTAGAAAGATACTCCAAATACGTCCTTGAGGACTGGTCTGGTGTATTCCTCACTGGATGACCCTTGGCCAAAATTCAGGGAGCTTTGTGTTCTTATAATAATAGCAGATGGCACGGGGGAAGATTAGTTTGAGATGCAAGTATATTAAAAAAAAGCTCAACGAAAAATATTTACTTACACAAAGTAATTATTGGGCCTTTCAACACTGCGTATGCACAGCTGCCTGCGATTCTCCCATTATAAATCACATCTTTCTTAAATAATTTGCTCAGGTGTTTTTCATTTATATCCTGCCTTCTACACATCCACGTTCTGCCATGAATGACCAATGCAAAGTTCATTTAGGGAATTCTACATATATATAAGGCAGCTAATCTGCAGCCTTTTAGTGATAATCATGACAACTAAAATGTTTAGAGAATGCACCTTTACTGAGACTGAACTTGAAGTGCTTGTGGGTGAGGTAGAGAGACGGAAGAACGTTGCATTATCTTTTGAGTGGCACAGTGTTGTTGCTGCCTTTGCTATGGAGAGATCCAAAGTAGCTGCATTATGGGGCTCAGAGATGACTGGCACAGTTTGTGCCAAATTGGAGAACTTGCCTGAAATACCTGCAGAAAAACCTCTGTAGGTTTCAGCTGCACCGCTCCCAAGAACTCCCTTCCACATCAAGAACATGAACTCATTCACAGAATTCAATAAACAACTCAAAACTCACCTCTTCACAACCACATATCAACTTAGAATTTTAGAGTACCTTGTTTGTCATCTTTGTTTTGCTTATGTTGTACTTATGTCTACTTTTGTTTTATTGAATGATTTGTGTTTTTATTCTGTACATTGTCCTTGAGAGACCAGAAAGGCACTTTTTAAATAAAATGTATTAATATTATTGTTAATAAAATAATTGTTGTTCATTTGATCAGACTCAAACTTTGCACAGCTAATGTCAAGATTTTTAACTATGAATCCATTGAAGTTTGGGGGCTACTGCTGCATTTTTCCTAAAAGAAATTCATCCTGAAAATTTTTTTTAGGCGGACAAGGAAAAAAATCCATTTTTTTTTTACAATATTTCATGTACAGTATCTGTAAGAAATGGCTCCTTCATCACGTTACAGTGTCGTATTTACATATCTCAACAAAGTCCATGGGAGTTCCCTTTTAAATGAGACCAAAAGTAAATAAATAGACCTTGTGGTTCCAGAAATATACTCATTTAATTATAGACATGTCATTTTTGAGAATATTAACCAAAAATAGACTTAGGGCCTAAAGGGTTCATGTGTGTGTGAGGGGTAGGAGGTGGTGCTGGGGATCCTGGCTTGTCTTGGACACAAGGAAAACAGATTGGGGTCCACTGATCTTCAAACTTGGACCAGATTACTCTACAGTGATAGCAGAAACTATTAAACACAGTTTGTGACTTGTGAAACCTTTATTTTATATGTGAAAACAATTATTTTCTTTCACAAATATGGTAATGTAATTGTGTTAAAATGTACAAACAGAGACATTTATCCTTTTGGCCGGGTAGTTCTGGGTATTTGGCACTCCTAAACCTCTAAACCTAATCGCCCCTGTCATTGACCAATAAGCAAAATATACATGGATGTATTGTTGGATGCCAAATACCATCGATGTACAGCTACTGGCCCCGGAACCAGAGCTTGAAACCCCTTCCAGAGAACCGCATGCCAATGTAAGCAACCGTTTTAACAACCTTTCTGAACCCAGGACTTAAAACAAGTATTTTCACACCACTTGTTCGCGCACGTCAGAGTCAACAGCTCCAGACACCTTTTCGGCACCCCCAACCCTCCAACCACTCGGGTTTACTTTCATCCTCCGGCCAAAATAGTTGTGTGAAACTATTCTACATGATGGATCATTCACGGCTGTCTCCCAGGGCGTTAACACCGCGGCTCCACGAGCAAGGCCGTCACGTGTCATGTGATTGTTGGATAATGGTCATTTTTCACGCGTTATGAAAGGTTCGCTCCTCCTCCTCCCACAGCTGTTCACTAGCTGTGACACAATCGAAACTCTTCTTAGAAAGAGCACCCACCGTGGCTGCCAGCTGCAGGGAACGGCACGCCCATTCACAGCAAGCATGTCGCACGAAAAAGGTAAGAACTTCGTTTATTATTGCGCGCCGCGAGGAGACCTGGGGATGGAGTCGAGGCGTGTGCTAGGCTGGAGGGTCCTGCAGGGTCCGGGCCGGGGTTGAACGACAGCGTGGGAGTCGAGGGAATAGCTCTTCCAGAGATCCAGGCGCATTCCCGTTTGCGTTCTGGACTCATCCGCTTTGGGAACGCACTTCCCGGTCTTTCTTCACAATAAATGGGCAAACTGTTTGCTGTAATAGAACACTCGTGATTGCTTTCAGCTTAGTTGTATCCTAAATATTTTTCTTAGATAGAAGAACGTTTTGTCCTCCCACTTTGAATCTTAAGTTATGTGAAATCTACATTTAGACAACAAAATAAATAAATAGAATAAAAGATGTTCCTCCATATTATCAAGCATTTTGCCTAAAAAGTGGTCTGAGTTAATGGGCTGATGTGGAAACAGATACTGATGATGTATAGCACAATTTAATAAAATGCAGAATATTCTCTTTAGGTCGAATTTTGACACCTTTTTGTATCGGATTTTTGAGAAAAGCCTTTTCCCCTATGGTTCCCTACCTTTTTCCCAAGGGACCCCTTTTTTTTACCAGTAAAATTTTTGACGACCCCCTCCCATTCTCTCTTCCAGTACAAACAGTATTAAGAAATGATAAAATTGTTCAAGCACATTTTAATATGCTTTGATTCAATAGATAACAGTAATAGTAGGCTCCAGTACAGAACAAAGTCATTAACAAAACCAAACAGAGCATAATGTGCTTGACAGTTTGTATTACTTTTCTGAACACATTGTTTCTTGTAAACACTGATAAATCAATCAGTCCTTTCAATAAACGTTTGACACATAAAAAATACACTGAGCAAAATGTACTTAAAAGTGTATATTACTGTTTATACTAGATTATTTACTGTAAAGGCTGTGATTAATCAACCAGTCCTATCTTTAATGAACTTTTGACACTTGAAAATAAAACATTGAGCTGAGCAAAATGTTCTTAAACGTGTGTTACTTTTTCTGTACTAATTATTTCCTGTCTTAATATCGGTAAACTTTTCACTCATGAAAAAAAGTGAGCAAAATGTAGGCTATAAACAAGTAATAAATGAAGTTTTAACCCTTAAAGTGGAGAGGTCCTGGCGACCCACTGAGAGGCTTTGGCACCCCCTTGTGGGGGTCGGGACCCCCAGATTAGGAACCACTGCCCTAAGCTTAGCAGCTCAAGTATTTGTTGCCTTCTAATGGAGGTGGGTGCTCTATGAACCCAGCGCCCTTTAGCCCACAGGTTTACCACAAGGATTTTCATAAATCACAAAGTACTTTTTCAAAGAAGAAATGGAAAGGTCAATGTTCCTTTGCATCGTGATGCAAACAATTAAAAATGATGTTTTTAAAAGTTTTATGACTTGTCAAAGAGTAGAAGTCATGCCAAAAGAGCAAGTCCTCAATGGCCAAAGTAGCTTTATCAGTAAACATGAATGTGGACAGTGACCAGATATTTTTTTCTGCCACTGTAATTATTTGCCACTCTCCTTAAACCCAACAAAAACATAGAGACAAAAAAGATATACGAAATTGTACAATTTCATTACATTTTTTAATTTCCCCTGTTTTTTTTTCAACTCTGTAATAGCATATTAATATCCTCCCTTTTAAGTAAGTATTGTTCTGTCAAACTTCCTCTGCAGCCAGGAAGTGACTCAAGTCTTTTCCAGCTCATAAAGTAAAGAAAAGTAAGAGTTAGAATACCTTACCTATATTTGGTTGCTTTTATCATCATACTGACATCGTCAAGCTCAACCTTTGAACCCAGTTACATGCAAAAATGGTATTTGTGTTATTTTAAAAAAAATCTAGTGATTGATTTGGAGAAATACATGAATTTCTTATTTTCATCTTCCTATATCGTGCTCAGTTAGTTAGATAATGTTGACTTATGACTACTTTTACCTAAAATCTTCAACCCTGTAACAAAAAACTGTTAAGGGGTTGAACTGTTGTTATGGGATTGAAGTTTAACTGTTGTTAAACAATGGCTGTCAGTTTTCTATCAGTATTATTTTGCTTTGATTATATATATATATATATATATATATATATATATATATATATATATATATATATATATATATATATACATATATATATATATATATATATATTAGGGCCGGGACTTTAACGCGTAAATTACGATTAATTAATAAGAAAAAAAATAACGCGTAAAAAAAATTAACGCATTTAATCGCAGCTTGCATTTCAAGCACGGCGGAACCTTTGTCATTGCACAATTTCCTCGTAGACTGAATATTACTCATGCACATAACAATGCACAGTGCGAATGGCTACTAAAACGAAATAAAAACAGAAAGAAGTTGCCTTGCATGGACTGATGCAGGATTTAGGAAACACGTCCGCCTCTTTTCTTAACTTGGGAAAAAAAACTTCCAGACAACAACGGAGTCCGTGTCGCGGACATTTTTCAGAGATCGTCTCTGCTGCAGCTGCCCAGTGGCACCGGAAACTTTACAAAAGTTGTGGTAAGCTATATTTTTAACATTTACGTAACATCTGTGCAGCGCTGAAAGCAACAGACAGAATTATTCTTTGCCCTAACAGTAATTTATGAAAGTAGTCAGACAAACGAGAGGCACCTGGCTGCCGCTGGGAGAACGCTCCGTGTTCTCACTACTCTGTAAACAATCACAAACAACGTGTCTTAAAGTTGAAAACAGAAGTTTAAGTTAAAACACAAACACTCTGAAACTTTTCTGATGATTTTCTAAACAATTCTGTCAGGGAATTACATGTTTCTGAGATGAGTCACTGTCTAAACATCACATGCATTACTATCATTAAGCAGCGAGGTGTGTTGAAGCTGTCATCAGCTAAGAGGCGGATGCTTAAGTGCATCAGGGGCAGCGAGGAACGAGAAAGTTGAGATCAGGCTGGAGATCACACCAGATTCACTGCTACAGGCGTGAATCTGCGGGTCTGCAGTATCCCCTTATTAACGTGACATCAGGACTTCCCATGTAAGGAATGTCCGCTCACCTGTTCGTCAGATCATTATTTCCTCGCCATGATCTTTTATCTTCCCATCATCCTCCAGTCATCCAACTGGAACCAGTTAGTGTTCCTGATCATTCTCAGAATATGCCATGCCTGCTCTGGTATTAAAAGTTAGTACATTAAAGTCCTAGATCATATTTGTGCCTGTTCTACTGTCATTTTGAAGGATTATTATTTATGTGTTTTTACTATATTATGAGTAGAAATGCTAATAAAAACTCCCAATTATACAAACAAGTGAAACTGGAAAAATTAGAATCTGGTGCAAAGTCAAATTTATTTCAGTCATTCAACTAGACAGAGAGACTATTTAAAGGCTCAGGAACCCTTTGCAGGTGTTTTCTATTTGTAATTATAAATTTTAGTTGATTTGGGTTTTGTTTCATATCACACAGTGACATTTGAATAATTAAAATGCATTTTTTTATTAAAAGCTTTAGTTTACAGTAATAACCATGTCTAATGTTTGATTCTCTGTCTCATAATTTTAATTTAAAGTTTTACTTTGAGAGCACATTTTCCTGAACGATTAAAATGTGATTAATTTAGATTAATTAATTACAAAGCCTGTAATTAATTAGATTAAAATTTTTAATCAAGTCCCAGCCTTAATATATATATATATATATATATATATATATATATATATATATATATATACACACACACACACACACACATATATTTATATATACTGCCACTGGGCAGCCGCAGCAGAGACGATCTCTGAAGAATGTCCGCGACACGGACTCCGTTGTTGTCTGGAAGTTTTTTTTTTCCCAAGTTAAGAAAAGAGGCGGACGTGTTTACTAAATCCTGCATTAGTCCAAGCAAGGCAACTTCTTTCTGTTTTTATTCCGTTTTAGTAGCCATTAGCACTGTGCATTGTTGTGTGCGTCAGTGATATTCAGTCTACGAGGAAGTCGTGCAATGACAAAGGTTCCGCCGTGCTTGAAATGCAAGCTGCGATTAAATGCGTTATTTGCTTTTACGCGTTATTTTTTTTCTAATTAATTACTCGTAATTAACGCGTTAAAGTCCCAGCCCTGTTTTGAATACAAGCGAGAAATCAGCTGGAGAGCACTATTAATATAATGCAAAATGAAAAATTCTCTGTAAGGTTAACAGTTAAAAGACAACTTAACTATATAAAATACCTGGTTAAAACTTTATTAAAAGTTTCACCGAACTGAAGGTGTTTTAAAAAACCCAACAAAGTTGATAAAAGTCTAAAAAACAAAAACTGAGTCAACCAAGTTGACAAGAACAAAATATCCATTTGGATCACACAGAGTTAAAACGAAAAAAGTTAAACTTCACCAAAATCAAAGGCGCTTATAACAATCTGAGGCCTGGAGTACAGCAGAACCCCTGCACTGCTGCCTCCCAGACTGCTGAAGGCACAGCCTTTTTATCCCAGGTGTGGGTCATCGGAGGGATTCAGGTCAGCTGTGTTCCTCAGCAGCTTGGAAGAGAGGAGGAGGAGGAGGGGCGGTGTCAGGCTGATCACCAGGGCTGGGTGATTCTGGCTCCTGAATCCAAATGGCCAGGCTGGTGCCCATAACACTGGTAACAAATATTAATTACATTTTTGTTGATCAGCATACTAGGTTTATGGGATAAGTAGAAAATATACAAAATCCTCAACTACTATTTATGTTTAAACATGTTTTCCTACTTCATAAAGATCATTTTTATAGCAACCTGCAAAATCCTACTTGGTATTGAAGTTTTTTTATTTAAAATCAAACAAAATACATGTACATCATGCAACCTTTGCAAACCACAAAAGATGTTTACACAAAAATAATAGCCTGTAACGCAGTGTCTAGGACAAGTAACTTTAATTAGATTACTGACTAGTACAAGTAACTTTAATTTGATTACTGACTATTACAAGTATTTTTAATTTGTTTACTGACCAGTACAA